CACAGGTCAGGTCAATGAAATTAATTTGCTGCACAGAATGAGCGAGCAGGAAGGACAGTGCTGAGCTGTACAGCTTAGAGGCCAGAGGCGCATGGAGTAGACCCCCAGGGGAAAGTGAGGCAGGAGCTGGCTGTGAGTCTGGTGCTCAGCGTGTGCAGCTTGAAGGTGTGATTCGGGTGGCAGACAGCAGGCACTGTGGAAATATCAATAAGGGCGCTTTGGATGTTAGCCAGAATTTTCCATTATTGGTGATTTTGGGTGCCCACTGTGAACCTTGTTGGTTACTGCGGCAGCAGTTTCCAATGCCTTCCTTTAAGCTGGGCCCCTCAAGCTATTTCACACTCAGGAACCCTCAGACATACCCCGACACTCCTAAAAATCTGTTACACCAATACTTCCTTTAACTTATTTAATCTTCAGATTATTTCTGAATTATTAGCTACTCATGACTGGAACAAGTGATCAGAGAACTGCTAGGGGAAAAATGTCTCATTGTGTGTCTGTACGCCAGCTGATTTATATCAACTCACTTCCTGTGGTGAAAAGCAAGTTTAAAAACATAAATACTTGGTAGAAGTTTTTTGGTTTCAGTGAGTCCAAAAGCAGTTCAAGTCTATCAGCTGAGAAGAAGGATATTGATACTGGCTGTTCTTTTCAACAAAACACTGAAAGATGCTCAAATTCAAGTGCGCAATTCAAATGCATGTCGATTATACTCAGTTGCCCCTCTTATTTTATATGAATGTAGCACTAATCAGGTAATTAGGTTCTTTGTTCTCAATAATTTATGTTTTTTAAAAAACTGAGTCTCTAATTTTGGAAAAAACCATAAGAGTCTTTTAATACTTTTGTTAGTTAAACTTGTGCATTTATTATCTTGCAAATAGCTTGTGCTTTTTAAAGGAAGCATAATTTGCAGCTACATCAGTGCACCCTTATGCTATACTGTGCAAGGTTTAGACAAGTGATGAATGAAGGTTATATTCTAAAAAGAGGATTCCCAGGTAAGTCATTTACTTAAATCCTCATGGTTAAGGTTCATGAAAAAATTAGAACTAATTTATCCCACAGAATTTAATGTATAGCACATACGCAGGTCAAATTTAAACTATTGCTTTCATATGAATTAAAGGTGTGGACATTTCTTTAAATGTCCACAAACTTTAAGATGAAGCCAGCTGAATTTTGAAGGTAATTGGCTGTGAATACTATCAGCCTTATAGGAGAAAGTTCTAAGGAACTGCTGCTTCTAAATCTATTTGTTTAGGAAACTTGTGTAAAAACCTTTCATAAAACACAAGCTGGGTTTGATTCAAAGTAGAGAAAAAGGCTTCGTTCTGTTCTTGGAAAGGAGCCCTTACATGTTCACATTTGTGGAACATGTCTCCCCTGACATCAGGCTGTGGAATTGCCCTCATAATTCAAGTCTGTCGGGAAGATGTGAAAGATGCCACACCAAAATTATATCCCTTCATCAACAGAACACTCGTGATGAAGGAATACAGCCCTCAGTCCCTCTCTGCCTGCCTCAATTCCTTGACTGTCATTCCTGAGAACAAACAGAAAAATTTAGTTTGTTGTTATCACTTTGGAGACAGTAGTATTAAATAATTTAATGAATACAGTAGGTCTTTCTGGGTTGTCACCAGGATCATTTCACAATGCAATGCTTTTCAAAGCTTGGTGCAATGTACTTCTGGGACAATATAAGCCTTTCACACTCATCTCCCACCAGTTTGCCAAACTATGGAGGAATTTATTTTGAGGCTCTAAAGACTAGGGTTGTTCAACTTTTTTGATGGAGCAGACGGCTTGATTGATTTCAGCCTTCAGGAAAAGACTGAATGCCTTTTTTTTCTCCTGTCAGGTGACTGATTCTGCATGCTGTCATGTGCAGGGCCAGTGTTCCCAGAGACACTAGGCTCCTCATGCAAGGGCAGCCAGAAATATTGCAAGTGTGGGCCAATGGGTGCCTTGGGAACCTCCAGATGTTGGGCAAAGACAAATGCAAAGTCCCGCATCCGGGAGGGAACATGGTGTACAGCACTGCCGGTCAGGGACTGGCTGGGTTGGGAGCAGCTCTGCAAAAGGGACCTGAGCTCCTGGTGGACCAGTGAACCTGGATGCAGCAGCGTGCCCATGCCACGATAAAGGCAAACCACATACTGGGCTACACCAAGGACAAGTGCTCATTCCCCTCTGCCCAGCACTTGAGGGTCTGAATCTGGAGCAGGGTGTCCAGTTTTAAGCCTGCAGTATGTGGGATATAAACCAGAGGGAATCCAGCAAAGGGCCACTAAGACGATTAAGAGGCTGGAGCACCTGCCCAGGGACCTTGGCCAGCAATGCCCAAACTGGCACCTGTGAGCAGTTGCACAGCACGAACGGACAGTGCTCTCTGCCTGACCCTGGACCAGTTGCGACCTTCCCTGCTGGGAAGGGTAGACGTAGCTGGAGGGGGAGCAAGCTAGTGTGGGAGATAATCTAATGTCGCTGGTTCTTAAATATAGCCCTCTACCCAGATCCACCGTGTTTTGTTGTTTGCTCTGTCTCACCCGTTGAACATCTCTGCTATACGCCTACCTACATTCTTGATCCATAGTTTCATCCTCCCGAGGGAACTGAGAGCAGCCTGCATGCAAACATCCTCTGGCCTGAGACTTAAGCACAAACTCTAGCTATAGTATCACCTTCGGTAACGGGCCAAAGAATGTCCTTTCTTTACCCTAGTACGTAAGGAAAGTAATTTATCCAGAACCACCAGTGCTAAAATGGCACGAAAGACAAACTAAATCACAGACTGAAGTGTCAATTACCTTGCAATGATGCCACCAGTTATTTCCGTACACCCCCCTGACAGCGACTCCCGCTATTCTCTTTAGCTGCAATACTCATCCTGCCGCACGGATCGATATTGATACCCGCCGGATTAAAAGAAGAGGCAGCATGTCCCCTGCCTGTCAGCCTGTGGAAAACATCTCGATTTTCTCATAGGCGTTTCTACAACGGCATCTGCTTGCTGCCGCATCTGAGAAGGGAGTGAAACTGCCTGCTTCAAACGGGTTTGGCAAAGGGTGTAGAGATGCTGCCGGGACGGCGGCAGTGGCTGAGGCGGATCAGCAGTGCCACCCAGTGGGACCCACGGCGAGCCTCAGCTCCGGGGAAGGGGAGGGGAAGGGAGAGAGAGGGGAAGGGGAGGGAGAGGGGAAGGGAGAGGGAGAGGGCAAGGGAGAGGGGAAGGGAGAGGGGAAGGGAGAGGGGAAGGGAGGGA